CCATGGTGTTTGAAGCATGAGAAGCAAGATAGCAATTGCAGCAAAGGTCATGGAAGCACCCTGGGAGCCTCAGCACACGTGGGATGAGCACACATGGGACTGGTTCCCCGGGCTCATTTAAGACCCCAAAAGTGTTCCCGTTGTGGGGACCCGGTGCATGAGGTGGAACAAATCTGGCTGAATGGCACTTGAGCTGTCTGAACTTCCCTCTGCTTTTCAAGTTCCCAAGAATATTTCCAGCCCTTCAGGTAGCCAGGAGAGGGGAAGCAGGAGGTGCCTTCCTGCTCGGTGGTTGGAATAACAAACTCCAGTGGGCACTGTGGGCTGGCRCCCGGCCAGCAGAGAGGCACTGGCCAACACGGAGAAAAGGGTTTAATGCACTTGCAAAGAGTAACTGCTGGGGGACAAAAGAGTGCTTGTATTTTTATTCTTTCCTTTTCCTGCTTCCAGGAAGCTTTAAATAGATTGATTAAGGGCATGCATGGGATATCTCTCTAATGAGGTAGTAGAGCCATTTAATGGCGAGGTGATGCCAGCCTTGGATTCTTTCTTTATTCCTGYGTCTCGCTGAATATCAGAGTAGTCKTGGTYTTGAGTCTCAGCAGAGGAATACAATTTTCCACTTGGTCATCCATTATTCCTTGGTCGAGCACCAGGTGCAGAGCTGAGCTGTCTGGGGCTGCCCATCCCTCTCAGGAGGCAAACCAGCAAGGGTGGCTGCTGGCTACAGTGCAAATGTTCCCAGCCAAGCATTAGCTATAGGATTTGCTTCAGTAATTACTTCAACTTCAGTCTTATGACCCAACATGAGGCAAAATTGCTCTTGGCCGAATTACAAGTTGCTGAGAGGTCTAGGGCATTSAGGCATGTGTCCTCTACCTGTTGGAGTGCATTACAAGCAGGTGGGCAGGTTTTGCTCTCTGTCTTTTGCATATTTTCCAGAGAACTCAGCGGCCTGTAGTTATCAATAGATGCAGGAGTAGGAATGGTTCTTTTTATCCTTTAACACTAAACAAAGGCATCCCTGCCCCTGGGACCAGCAGGGAGTGTTATGCATGCTGGAGACAGTGCACAATTCAAGGGGATGTTCCCTCTMTTGTGACCCCAGGAGCAAAATCCTTTCCTCTTTTACACACAGGCAAAATTCAGACCACCATCCATATACCTCACCCTCTGATAATCAGGGAACCTAAATATTCGGCTCATGGTAACAATTCTGTGTCTTCTAACAAGGGGAGCAGCTCTGCCCTAGGTCCCAGTCCCTCWGAGGCGTGCTGCTATGACAGCAATGTGATTGTCACTGCCATGGTATGCTTAACCTTTGCCAAACCAGAGCTGAGGCATTAACTCAGATCCTCAACCCACATGTCTTAAAGGGCAACGAAACCGGCGCTGCCTCGGCCCGACACAGGCTGCAGCTCAGCAATAAAAGGCACGGAAATGTGACAGGCGTGAGCCGTAACTATGATTGATGTAACTAGAAAAATAACAAAGAGAAGCTGAAAAATAGCAGTGAGGAGGAGGAATTCCTGGGACCRGTGTCTCCATGGCACCAGCAGCCCCCTGCTCTCACACCAGCAGACGGGCTGCACTCGCCTGTRGTGGAAAGGATCTCCATGGCACACAATGAAATTCCAGCAAACGGGACAAGGACTGATGGTGTCTGGAAGTGGTAGTGCCACTGAATTAGATTATGTGAGAAAAGGAGGAATATATAGACGGCCAGCTGCTCAAAGGCTTACTACAACCTTGCTTTTATTGTTCTGCTAAGTTAGAGGTGGGGCATCAGAGGGATTCCTGGCATACCACTACTGAGAAATTTTAATATGTTCCACAGTGACACATATAAAAAGGAAATAACAGCTGATCACAGCCAGTGGAGACTGCAACATCTCTTCATATTCATGCACAGAAGTGGGGTCGAAGTGGGGTGCTCTAGGCTCGGACACCCCAAACCTGACCCAACCAAACCTTTCTCCTGCCACTGAGTTTAGTTTCAGCAAAGRGTCGAGTGTGAAGTCAGGCAGCAGAAAAAGGGCGATGTGGACATGGCTGCTCACCCCATCCCGAGAYACCAGGACGTGGAGAAGGGCAGGGGACCCGCGGGGCAGAACACTTCACACTGATGAGAAGAAACACGTGTTTACACAAGCGGCARTGATCCGGTGCAACAAGATATCACAGAGGGCAAGAGTTTAGCTGGGCTCTGCAGAAGGACCTGTTGCATATGGGGCTTAGTCACAAGGGTTTCATTTCTAAAGAGTTTTTGGAAGGGTTATAAACTCTCTGAGAGTTCAGTGGATGGGGTTAGGGAAAAATCCTTTGCCCCAGCGAGTTACCCCATAGCTGCCTGCCATAGGGTCTCTGTCTCTCTTTGATGTGGCCGCTTCCAGCCACGCTCAGGATTGGATTGCTCAAATAACAGCGGGCTGTGGCACAGTCTCATGTAGCAAAACTCTTCTGAAACTCACAGAGATAAGTCTCTCCTTAGAGACAGAGGAATTTGTGATACTTATAATACAACTATCAAATATTTATAATTGTAATTACAATACTGATTGGGAGGTGGTGGGGGAGGAAGAGAGGATTTTTTTTCTTTCAGTTAAGCAAACAATCCACCAGACAAGYTGCAAAAATGAATGTCTCAGTGGTTGCATGCCAGCTTGCACCATAGATCGTCAACTTGCTCCAACCTCCAAGGGAACCTTGAGCACTTCCCAGTGCATCAGAGAGCAGAAAAGCCAGGAAGGGARCAAAACCCCAGGAGAAATGGGGAATGAAGCCAACTGCAGGAGGACACCCTGCCAARTGAGTCAGAGCAGGCATCAGTGTGAGCTCCCAAGGAGGTGCTTGTTCCCCTCCCACCTGGGTGGGAGAGGCAGCAGCCCTGGAAGGCAAACCAGCAAGAACAGGCAGGAGCTGTCACAACTCTCAGTGGTGCATGAGGGACAGTTCCAGCAGGGCAGATGGCTTCTGTGGAAATCAGCCATGCCCAAGGAGCTACCTGGGGCACTGCTACTGCAAACTGACCCAAGGCTGTCCATAACCAGCATCCTGCTCTGCAAAGGCCAACCACCAACACACATCAATCCAGACCAGGCACCGCACAAACCCAGGAAACCTACGTGGGACACCTTCAGGTAGAGAAACAAGCCTGTAACTCATCAGCAGCCTCTAAATACACCCTGTCCCTAAATCAAATTGTATTTTGCTTCCTAAGCTTGAAACATCTATTCCTTCCGCATTTGCTTTAACTGGAAAATCTTATAGTCTTGTTTTATAATACAAAATAAGATTTCATTAGCAGCAAGAGCATATCAAYGCATATGTAAGTCACACTGGGATCCCCTGATTCAAGCTGGTAAGCAATTACTCACCAAATAGTTCTGGTTAGGTCCAGGAAATTATTCATGTGTATAACTATTCACAAACATTAGTAAGGTCCCACAACATGAGGAAAAGTGAGCATCAGTAGTAATTCAAAAGGAAGGACAAAATAAAAGRTAGARGTCCAAAAAYGTCGATATTCTTAAATTCCTTTGARGAGGTACAAGTAACAGCATTGTGATTATTACACCCACATCTATCGACCACACCAGGCTGCTTGATTGCTTCYATTAGAAAATAACTTTGCAATAAAGTACTGATCTGAAGTGAGTTTGTCTGCACTGCTGGTTCTAAATAATMATTTGCTTTCAAGTTAATTTGTCCCATTTCTGGTTTTAAATAACCTTTTACCTGTCCTTTATCAACAGSCAGAGTTCCTACTTCTCAGCCACTGTTACAAAGCTTTAGGAMCTGTAAGTAATATGTAGCACAGGAAACATATTTTCTCATCTCTAAAGAGCTGCAGAAACCTTAAAAAGTTATTTGACATGCCATCTCTCCCAGGCAGAACCAAATCAGATGTTTTATGGGGAGAAATTGCAATGAACCTGCAGGGCAGGACAAGAAATCTTCCTGGCAGTCCCAGGAGAGTCAGTGCACACACACACACACACACACACACACACACTCTGAGCATCTTGTAAATTCAGCTTTGGCACAAGAAAATTGCCCCGCAGCACAAACTGTGTGTGACACTGCAGCAGTAGCTAACCCAGTACTGAGGTTGGTCTTTGTTACTCTGTTCTTTGCTGCTGGACCCATTCACTCGGACTTTTCCAGGATGAATTCACTCACCTGAATCCTAGCAGGGAGTTGGGCTCTCTTCCTCAGCGGTGCCCTCCTGGCAGTGTCCTCTCCCGARCCTCGCAGTCACACCGCACTGCCACTGTCACCGCGCTCCCGACGGGGAAATTCTCCTTTCGTCCCAGAGAGACAGAGAACAATCATGCTGGTGCCTCTGGCGCTGACACGCAGGGAAATGCTCTGCCAGGAGCYGGGGAGAGCCTCTCTCTGTCCTTCCGCGGGCGGTCCGGGGTCGTGCAGCATCCTCCGGTGTCAGCTCCGGGCGGCACAGCCCCGCCGCCCTGCGTGTCGCGCCGGCCACCTACCGAGCATAGCCCGGGCACTACAGCAAAACCCAGCACCGGGGCTTCCCTCAGCGGGCTCAGCCAATAAACAGGGTGTGTTAAATCTGTCCTAATCCACAGCCRGCGCTGTCCGGTCCGTAGGAAAGCCTCGCGGAAGTTTGGGTAAGTAACAGTGTGCGAATTACGAGCGCTCCCGCGGAGCGTGAGAYGCAGCGCTAGAAATAAATATCGCCTGTTGTTTCAAATTGTTCTGAGCGCTCCGGCAAGGGAACAGCAGGCGTAAGTAGTGATAAAAGTGAACAGTCCGGCTTTAAAGCGGCAGGCTCGCCCGWGCTCCTAGAGCCCTATTGTAGAGGGACAAAGAGGGTGCTGGCGGTACCAGCGCGCTCTCGGTGGATTCAGGGCAGAGTCCAGCATGTCCATTCACTCCAAAGACACAGAGCCAGGACCAGCACAGAGCTGCAGCCTGGAGCTCAGCGTGCTCACAAGAATAGGTGTTTAATCAAGGTGCTCAGAAGCGCCCTGGGCTACCTGCATTTGACAGGCAACCTTTGGACAGGAGATAGAGGCACAAGGATAAGGAGACACAGAGACTAGAGCGGTCTTGATTCAGTTTAAACACAGTTTAATTTTTAAAACGGTATAAGGAGAACATGTTTGTGTCAGAGAAAGATTAAACACTCAGTTTAAGTCTATAAAAAACTCAAAATCTGTAGGAATCTCTTATTTGCATGCTTACCTTTGGAAAATGCACCACTCCTTCCTTCCCTCGGACTCTTCAGAGAGCTAAAAAGTGGTCCTGTTACTTCCAAATGCTTTTGTTCTTCTGTCCCTCTGTCACATGGCTTGCCTTTTATATTTGCAACACACAAAAGTTAGGGCTGTTGTTTAAGAGAGAGAGGGAGAGAGAGGGAGAGAGAGGGAGAGAGGGGAATGTCAAATGGAAAAGTGCCATTGCAGTCATATATCAATCAGGGCAGCAGCAGCAGCAGCAGCTCGCTGGCAAATGGGAATTCCACAGAAATGCGAAGCTCTTGTTATCTGAGAAATCACAAAACACCACCAGCCAAGCTCCCCTCTGCAGGGACTTCTTATTATTGGCAAGCCAGGAAATAGAAGGAAGTGTAGGCGCTTTTTTAATTGCTGTTATTGTTTCAGATCTGGAGATAAGTGAGCTGTGGCGTATGAAAGCCAGTGGAATAAAAACCCTGAATCAAATTCCTTCCTAAACAAATGCACCATAAATTTCTTGCATAATGCAAGATGAAGAAAACCACAGAGAAGCAAGGCAGTGGAGCTAAGTGAAGAATCTGACAGTAATGATTTAAAGAATTTGATAACTGTTTGTGCTTGGAAAGTATCCATAGAAAACCTACCTGTTCCTTGGATTATTCATTAATCTCTTTTTTCCTGACCAATTTTTCTTAGACTTTCTCAACTGAGTTTGTTCTCATGTATCCTTAATTCAAGATGTGCTGCTTCACTACAATTGGTCAACTAAAGCTTCTGACATTCCCTGGCTCTCCAGTTGGGTAAGAAGATGAGTATTTTCTGTATAAATACTTGTCTGCAACCTGCAATTCCCCTCCTTCAGRCAACCTGCCCTGAAATTCTGACATTTCTGTCCAACAAACTCAGAAGAAAACATCATCTTTCTACTTTATACACTTTTCTCTGAAGAATACCAAGTTTAAAAAGAAGTTACTATTGAAATCTTGCGTAAAATATTGTGGGTTTATACAAAGAAAAAAAAAATTAAAAATCCCTGAGGGGCTGAAGGCAGGCTCCATCCACTGGAAAACCCCACTTACAACAAGGACACCACATTTCTGGTTGCACCAAACCCTCTTCACCACAGAGGAGGGTGTTTCACCTCCTTGTGAAACTCCCTAGAAGTGTCCCCTAGCCATCCTGCAGGATCATGGGAAGCACAGACCTAAACTGGTTAATTAAAAAATAGGCGACATAGCTGGCCATTCACAAGCTGTATCTGTTCAGAGGCCCTGGCCAGCAGATGGACAGGGTTCTGTGTTGATTGTGTTTGAACTCTRAAGGAAAGTTGGTATTTGATGGATGGTGTTATTAGCTAAATGTCTTATGTGTTATAAGATCAAAGAACAGATGGGAATTATGCCTTRAAAATAGAATAATCTAAAAGAGGAATGGCTTGTAGATGAGGAAGCATCACAGAAAAAATAAAAGAGATTTTCTTTGGCTTGCTTTTCTGCAAAGCCAGGTTTGACTGGCAGGATAAACGAATACTGGTTTCTTAGCTTTGTATCATCTGCAGGTAATGATATCTGTATTAATTTTTTTGGGTGCTCAGCATATTCAACAATAATCAATAATGCCTCACACAGTGATATTTTTGAGAAGTAGTGCTCAGCAGTTTGCTACCACAACATAAATTCCTAGTAGAGGAAAATCAGCAAAAGTGACTTTCAATTTTTTTATCTCCAGCRTCCAGACCCTGTTTGGCAGCCAGTGGAAGTTAATCAGCAATTAATTGACTGCACAGCCTGGTGACTTATAAACTGACACTCTCATTTGTGGCCTTCTGAATGAACCTGCACATGATCRCAAGCACAAAAGTAGAAACATCTAATGTATCCTCCCCCCACATCAAGAACTCTAGGGCCCATAACTTTTTCATAGCTGTTCATAAATCTTTAGACTCTCTCAAATGCTGTGACTTAATCCCACCCATAAAACCAGACATTTTGAAGAAACAAATAAAAGCAGAAAGTACAGGAGCTCAGAGCTCAGTTTTCAAAGACCACCAGACATCTGAGATGACCCCAGATATAAGATAATATTTCCAGAAGATTTAAGGTATTCTGCTCCCATCAGCTCTGATCTGAGTTCCCTTCAAAGGAAGTTTATCTCACTTAGAAGTCTTTGCCTGAAAACAAAATTTAGGCTCTGCCAGCAGCAAATGTAGAGTTTCCATCCCAAATTACTTTCAGTAAAGGCTCAGTTCAGATTGGCATCAATAACAGCTTTTCTCTCTGGGAGCAGACACAGATATTCTGCTTACTCATCTGAACGAATTTTTTTTTTAATAGAGGAAACCAGGTGAGTTAAATCCTTCCCTTGAAAATTCAGGGTGTAATTTTGAAGAGATGGAAATCCACTCCTGCATGGAGTTCTACCAACCTCTCCTTTCCAAGCCCCACAACATACACTGGAGACCTGCAACCCTATYCCTTATTCCACAATCACAAGACTCRTGTTTGTCCTYAGAAAAGCCCTGGACCACCATTACCTGCAGTTCAGTGGGACACAAATATTTACCCTGTTGACATCACCAATCCCTGTTTTTCTTCTTCAAAGGAGCAGGATTTCCCCTCTCCATCATGCATGTGCTGTGAAATACATTCAGACTTGTGCAGAAAAATCAGTATTTTATTTTCATCTGAAGGATTTCCCAGTGCTGCCACTTGGTAGTCTTTTCCAGGCAATTTTTTACATTCTGAGTGGGTAACCACTGTTCCAGTGGGTAACAGACCTCTAAATCATCAAATGTGCTGGCAGAACAGGCATTGCTTGGTGTCTGTGCTGGTTGTGCCTGCAAAGACCAGGAAAGGAGTAGAAAAGCAAGAACAATTTTAAAATGTAGATACATTGTCATGCACAGACATAAACATCACACCCTTTTGCTGCAAGCAGTTAGAGGGAGGAGGATGTACAGGAATGTGGTTCAGGGAAAGACAATGCTTAATGGTTCCATTATTGAATTGATGAAGGAGGGTTTACATTTGGGGATTGGCCATTGGTATTCCTTTCATAGTTGGGAATGTAGGAGGAACTGAAAGCATTGTAATGGCAATCCACAGCAACAAAAAAAAATGTAATACTTGTGTAATGAATTTGTACTTTGTATATGTAAGAAGTACCCAGAATTCTTAGAGGCATATTTTATGTCATTTTAATAACAAAAATAAGTATTAGGCAAATAATATTCCCAATAAATAAAACTACACAACCACAKAGAGCAATGCAGGAGCAGGAGCCACAAAAATCTGTTTAGGCACTCAGTATTTTTTATCTTTCTTTCTCCCCATGGTGCTTTATCTTAGATTTGTTGTGCAAGGATATTTAAATACCCAAACACCCATACTCTTCCATAAGCAAAATGGATCTTTTATTGTTTATRTGTATTAATGAATGTGTTTTGTTATGAAACAGTAAATGTTTATTCAGTTATTTACACAAATACTTTTATTACAGCAAGGTTCCTGTTGTCTAGGGGATAATGCTGCTACGGAGAAGACTGAAAATTAGGTCTAAACTRTATGTTTATTAATTTTAAGGCAGAACTCAGTAAGAATTACTGCCTGTGGACAGTACTCAGGCTGACTTGGAAATGCAGCTGCAGAAGGACCAGAAGTTGGTGTCCCCTTGGCTCCTTCAGCAGGAAGAAGCAGTTGGTCAGGCAGGGCTCCTCCGAGGTGTGCTGCCCACAGGACACAAAGTACTTYGGAGTATCAGAGCTTGAAAAAGCCAAACTGAGGAGCCTGGCAATGAAAAGAGCCCCGAGGGAGGTCTTGGATGAACAATGGCTTGGACATGTCTGGGAGAGGGGGGTGATCCTCTGGCTGAGGAGGTTTTAATGAGTGATCTGGGAACAGAAGTCACAGCCCTGCCCTCAGACACAGCCAGGCTGCCCTGCACTCACCAAGAGCCCCAAAGGACACTTTGTAAAGGACGAGTGAAGAATTCTGGATTTCCTACACATTTTTACCCTATGTCCCTCATGGTTGCCCGCTCAGGTTTTTCCCCTACACAACCTTCAGCTCCCTGATCCCCACATCTCTTGATGATGGGCAGTGGAGCTCCTTGCCCTTTGCTCCCTCCTACAAATTTTCCAACTGTTTTTAAAGCCCCTACAAGACTGCTGACAGAGTAAGGGGCAGCACACCCATCCTGGACAGCAAACACGTCTTTTTGCCTCCTCAGACTGCAAACTGCTTTGGTTTCCCTCTGCAGGACAGCAATGGGATGCAACACTCCTGCCTAAGCACCACACCTCCTCACATGCCCAAGAAACTATCTAGAGAGTTCCTGAGATCTCAGCCTTGCTGTTAAAACTGACCGAATTTGAGCAGCTGGATGAAAAGCTAAGAGGAGACAAAAATGTCAGGGCCGGGAGGCAAAAGGCAACTCAGTTCTGTGAGAAGTTTATAAATAAGAGAGTCTCTTTTCYACCTTCAGGCTGCTGGAAGGTRGAGTGTCTTTTCYCTAGRAGAGACTGTCATCACTCTGATCCSTGTCCCCATYCCCTTTGGAGGGACTGGCTGCYCCTCTCTGGTRTCCTCTRCCACTRCTTTGTGCCTAATGGAGAAAGARGAAARCTACAGYRTTTCTCTGAATTTCAGC